CTATCTTGATGTACCCGACTAGGAAATCATATAAGCGATAAACACCCGGTGACACAAAGTGCCACCATGCGGATGAGGATCACCTCTGGAGAGGTTCAGGAAACCCCTTTCAGCCGTTAGGCCACATTTATGGCCCAGCTATATTCAGGGCCCCCGGTAAAAGTCAGGGTGGGGCTTTGAATAACAAAATATAGCATCCCACAAGGAGACCACGAGATGTTTCATATTTTCTCGATGTTCTAGTGGCGGGAACTTATGATACCTAAATCTTGTTCAAGTACTCAAAATTATAATAATAATCATGAAGGTGTTTAATCCCCAAGTTCCAGCCACATCGCAAGCTTCTATACAGATTTGTTTGTGTGGTACGCAACGGTTGGCAGCACCGGAGCCTTTTTTAAAGCAACATTTCTTAGTACTTCTGTAATAGACACTTTGTAGCAAACACGGGCATGTCATTTTCTAGAATTCTGAAGGTTAAAGTCACACGATGGGTTCGAAATGGTTGATATCCCGTCCATCCATTTTACTTGCAAACACGGTACCCATTTTGAGCTGGTTCGACCGCAGTGCAAGTGATGAATTTGATAGGGATTTGAAAACATTGCCATCAGAAGACCTGGCCTCCCGGCTATCGAACTGTAAAGGTTTACGTGGTACAGTATGTCCTAGGAAACTGAACATTGGTTAACTTTGGATTTAAACACTATTTATTTTTGGTAAAGCTAGGACTGGTTGTCGGCATCTGTGGCTTAGGCGTTACGATCGCACTTTGTGATTCCGGGGTGCCGGGTTCGATCCCAGCTGCATGCCTTGCGCCTTGTGTTGGTTTTGACAGGGGTATCATGAGAAGCCGACCGTCCAGCAAGCAATGGCAAACTGCTGGGCGTAAACTTGCCTAGGAAAACCACAATAGCTAAAAAATGCTGGTGTTGGTTCTGCAACGTCTTGTATAGGATACGCCACTAACTGGTTAAGGCTGTGCTATTTGTTTGATTCTGGTTTATGAAAACCTTGTATTCTCTAGGCTCTACCTGATCGTGTAAAATAAAGTGATTTGGCTGAATTAATTGAGGCTTGAATATTACCAGGCAAATTCATGTGTAATAAATATAAAGAAACTCATAGGAGTATAAACATATAAACAGATAATCAACAAAACTAACAAATATATGGATAGACTGGCACATCTATTTACCACACATACAGACACACAAAGTACACATACTTTCAAATGCTACCTCTATCTAACAGAACACAAAAGCTCGCCCACAGTATCAACCACTTACCAACAGAGCAAGCATAATGGGCACGTATATGATGAAAATGTAAGACACACGGCTGTTTTGATTCCAACAGCTGTTGTCGTGCTTGAAGTGCATCACAGCAGCCCAAACAACAGCGACCAGGAGGGGAATCACTACAGTGAGACACACAGAAGTGTGTTAACACAAATGCATTGAGATAAACAGCATTACTTGTTTGTTTGCACATAAATAAACGGTCGGGGAACCCTTGCGGCTTTGGAAATATATAATAAACAAACTTATAGGTAATGGTCTGAACTCATAAAAAGAAATGGAGAGATGAGGTACAGATATCATTATCCATCAGCTGGGTCCTTCACAGAACTTCGCTCTTGTCACGGCACACATGAAAGCCTTCAACCTTCTCTTTTTCTGTCTTTCTCTAACTCCCTCTGTCTCCCTCTGTCTCTCTCTGCCTCTCTGTCTCTCTCTCTCTGTCTGTCTCTGTCTCCCTCTGTCTCTCTCTGTCTCTGTCTCTCAGTCTATGTCTCTTTGTGTGTGTCTCTCTCTCGGTCTATGTCTCTTTCTGTCTCTCTCTGTGTCTGTCTCTCTCTCTGTCTCTCGGTCTTGTCCCTTTCTGTCTGCTCTGTGTCTTTCTCTGTGTCTACATCTGTCTTTCTCTCTGTATCTCTGTCTCTCTTTGTCTCTCTATATCTCTCTGTCTCTCTCTGTCTCTCTGTGTGTGTCTCTCTGTCTCTCTCTGTGTCTCTTCTATCTCTTTATCTCTCTGTCTCTCTGTCTGTCTCTCTCTCTCTCCAGCCAGTTCTACAATCCTAGCTATGTCCATAGCCAGGGCATCTTTAACTAGACAACTAGACTAACAATTGAAAGCTATTGCTACTACGCTGAGAATCAAGCCTCCAGACGAGAACAAAGCCACGCTCGCAAAAACAATGACACTTTCATCCATGACCAACACCCCTATCAATAAGCTCTCTTCTTCAGCCCATACCCTCACCCCCTTTCCCAGTGGAGCACAGACCCTTAGCCGACCCACACCTAGTGGGTCTTTCATTTGCTATTACATGCAGCCGACCTCATAACCTCTCATATCATTTTACCTCAATCTCTAGCTCCGTTCTCCATATGTGTGATTTGGTTTGTATGTATGTGTGTGAGATTTTGATTGCACCTTTTCTATACCCCCATGGATGTCAGGGTAAAGACTTTCTACTTAAGTTGTTCTACCAGTGCCATTTATTGCATGTTAGTCTGTTATTTTGCAGTAAATTTGTTAGTGTATAACTAAGCAGCTCAATAAGTACGATGCATTATTTGTAGGTGTTGTTTTCATTATGGAGATTGACCACAGTTTTTATGTGGATATGTCCGCTACTATAACTAGTTATTAAATTACCCTTTTCAACGCTTGCAGACGTATTCGGCATAAAGTACAAGCCATTATTTTATAGACCAATCGGCACTTGGTGGATGACCTGGCCATCATCACTCCGGTCGCCTTTACTTCCCATGGCTATACCTTGTACCCACTTCAGGCTGGGTCGACCTGGGAGCCAAAGTCATTTTTGAAAAAAAAAAAAAAAAGTGTGACTTCGTCAGGATCAAAACCCATGACCCTCCGATTGGCAGACGAGCTTCTAGCTAACTCCTATAATTAATTATAATCATTCGTAATACATTATTAAACATTCGCTAAAACACAGTGCGTATTGCGTGGATGATGTAAATCAGTAAGAAAATGAGAATAAATTTTTAAAAATGATTGCAGAAAGGTTGAGAGCTGAACGTATGAGAACAAGCACATTAAATACACTTGATGGGAACAACCGTTCTGAACTCCCATGCGCTAATTGTGGAAGACTTTCCTCAACGCGTTCGTGTCTTGCCTGTCACACTCGCCATCGTCATAGGCTGAGCTCCATGACTCCTCGAAGCATAATATAACACTATTTCCAGGTAAAACGGAAAGGTGCTAGCAACTTTCATACGAAAAATGGCGAGGTGAGTTCTGTGTTTCCTCTGCGATAGGACTTTAGTACCAATGTCACGAGAACAGTCTTTTTGTGAATCATCAGCAGCGAAATCCAACCCTGTGACACTGATGTTTGTGAGACGCGTTCACCAACCCCTACGCCACAGAGATGTATATTTTATATCAGTTTATTTCACACTGATCCCTTAATTAATGAGGAGCGGCTGACCGAACGGTTAGAGCTATCAGTTCACAAGGGGGCACCCAGGTTTGAATCCTCGGTCAATCTGAGGATTTGTTGCCTGTTGGGAGCAAACATAAAATCCTAACCTTCACAGTTCGCGGCGACAGCACTAGTCATGCGGCCCTAATTCCTCATGCCCAAAGACACCTTGTCTACACTTCACAAGTTGTAGATTTAGGCAGCAATGGCAGTAAATAGCAGATCCTATTCTGCCTTGTAGCGTCGACATGTATCAACTGAAAAAAAAAAAAAAAACTGCCCGATTCTGTGATTGTTTGCAACTAATAGAGTTTATTGAAGGAAGTTCCTATTATTAGTTTGACTTATAGATAAAAGTAACCTTATCCTCACCATTATGCGTACAGGGCATAAAGGACAGGTTCTTTTTCCCACGCCTTTAAGCGTATTTGGAGTATAGGGCTAGACCGTTATTTTACAGAACAATCGGCACTGGGTGGGTGATGTGGTCAACACTATGTCAATCGGCACTGGGTGGGTGATGTGGTCAACACTATGTCAATCGGCACTGGGTGGGTGATGTGGTCAACACTATGTCAATCGGCACTGGGTGGGTGATGTGGTCAACACTATGTCGGCCTCATTCAGTTCTTAGAATTAACTTGGTACACAGTAAAGGCTGGGTCGACCTGGGAGCGACGGCCATTTCTGAAAAAGATCCCATTTCCCTAGATAGGTAACCGACAGTAGCTTTCTCACTCCCTAAACGTTTTGGGCATATGTTTGTACTCCCATAGTGTTTATAACTCATCGGGTTGTTTCCTCCTGATTAAAGTAAGTGAATGTCAACTTTCAATGTAGTCCACTGGAGGGAAAACTGTGCTATAGTCCGTTTCAAAAGTCGTGCCAATGTTTAAAAATACGTAACTCAGTAACCGATGTGTGTAAATTGTTGAAATTTGGCATTAAACCGGTTAACACTCATGTCCTTGTAAGAAAATATTTTTAGTTGAAAAAAGAACTATACTTATGGGGAAAGGGGGAGGGGGGGGGCGGCTTTGTTGCGGTTTATGAAAGAAAAAACAAACAGATACCCGATTCAAAGAATAAAATTACCATGATAACATAAATGGCTTCAGACGAAGTTGGCAAAAAATTTAAATACACCCGTTTTAAAATGACCAAAAAAAAAAAAAAAACTCTTTTTCAATAGTAAAGTGAATACATTAAGTAAGTACTGTCACAAAGCTTGATGATTGACACATAAAAAAAAGTATCCGATTTATTCCACCTACCATATTTTTAGAGGTACACTAGTTATTAGGGTGACACAGGTAAACAATTGACAACTGTAATGAAAAAACAGCACCTGTGCAATTGTTAATTGTGAAATTATAAGGACCTGGGAAACCTAAGAATCTGACAAAAATGTGTGTTGATCAGTAAAAGATTTTTCAAGATATTTGTTACAGTTTGAGAGCACAACTTTTTAAACGAACTATTTAATCGTGTTTGCAAACAGGCGTGTTGTGGAAGATATAATCAGCTTGTCGGCCGCCCTTACTTATCATTACATTTTCTGGTGCTTATTGTATAATACTAAGTGATCATGTTGAGTGTACTACAAAAAAAAAAAAAAAACATGCTGTTCATAACCTGGGACGTTCATGCAAGAAGGTAAGCATCTAGTTAATACGCTACCGCGCCGCCATCTCCCTTTCCCGTCCCCCTTCCCTCCCCGCAACCTCCCCTCACTTTTCTACAATCATCGCCACGTAACTGAAGTGTTTTCTCCCAATTTTAAATATTTTAAATCGGTTATAACTTTTCTGACCTCCCAGAGACTTAACTTTTTCTGCAATTTACACACACTTGTTCCTGTCATCTCCTGTTATGCATGATTATCGTCCTCTACCGCACTGTCCCGCGCCCCCCCCCCCCCCCCCACTCAATTTACTCATTAAAAAAAAAAAAATACAGTTTGCAGAAAATATATCTAGCCATGGATTGTCGAGGCTCTTGTGTGAGGATCTTTCAATCTAAGAATAAACCAGGGTTAATGGGAATCCTATCAAATACTGTGTCAAAGAGATGTTTCGAGATAGGCTTTCTCTAGAGCCAGGTCATAACGTGCAGGGTAAACAGTTCAACATCTCACGTTCTTTCCCTTTCAACCAGATTTGATTGATTATATTCACAACACGCAGGCGCGCGTCCGCTCGCGCACCCACACACACACCTCTTCTGATGGATGCGCAATTTGAGAAGCTGAGTCACCTTGCAAATTTGTAAGTGTTTAATAATAATAATAATAATAATAACATGAATAATAATAATAGTGTGATGTGTGGCCAAGTGTCATAACTGTGATTGCTCTCTGTAATTGCCACATTCGCGGTGAACGGGGGTCTTTAGGTCTGAGAATTCAATTCAGTTTAAGCTGTGACTGAAGCTGTTTTCATATCATGACTGCTCTAAAATTGTCCTATTTACCATTGTATTCTGCCACCAGTACGGACAGCTGATAAGAATTGTCTTCCTGTGTCGCCGTCCGCACGTAACTCTGTGGCTACAGCTACTTTCCTCCATTTACCCCAGAGTTTCAACTCTGGTACCCATTTCCTAGAGACTGGGTGAACCCCGGAAGCCGCCCGGTTTCGAACACCTACCGTGGGCTGCAGCGAGTCGCAGCTGGATTTGAAAGCGAGCTTTTTTATCGTCTGCGCTAACGCGAATCAAATTATCTTTGTGTTTACGCGTTTGCTCATTCTAAAACTAAAGTAAGGCAGGTCAGTGCGCTACTTAGAGAGCAGAATATTATTTGTTTGGAAAACAGCGTTACAGATTTTAAATATCTAAACGGGAGAATAGATTGATGACAGAAACAAGGTGATAGCGAGGTAGTGCACTTAAATACTAACTGACACCGTTATTAAGACATTCCAAATTAGGTCTGACAGTCAAGAAACAGCAATTCA